GAAGAAGTTCAAATTGATATATTAGATACAGCTGGTCAAGAAAATTATGCTGGTTTATTTACCAATATTATTTAAAAATATGTCTAAGCATATGCTTTTTTTTCTTCTTCTTTAGCTATTCGTGATACATATATTCGTACTGGCGAAGGTTTTCTTCTTGTATTTGATATTACAGATTCAGAATCATTTTCGGATTTACAAGAACTTCAGTATATAATTTATTTCTATTCGAAAATAAAAGCAAAAAGTTTCTGTTTATTTTTTTAGCGACCAAATTTTACGTGTAAAAGGCAGTGGAACAAATATCCCAACAATATTAGTTGGAAATAAAACTGATTTAACTGATAAACGTAAAATTACAGTGGAAGAAGCTGAAAGAAAAGCAAGTGAATGGTCAATAAGATATATTGAAACATCAGCAAAAACAAAACAAAATGTTGATAAAGTCTTTTGTGAATTAATGAGAAGTGTAAAACCATTAAAAACAACAAAAGATACAGATGATGACAATAAACATCGAATGGATTCAACAACGACAAAAAAAGACACAGGTTGCTGTGTTATTTTATAAAATAAATAGGAACAATTATTTCGTTTCTTGTTGTTGTTCTTTTTTTTTTACAAAATTTCTCAACAATAACAGTGAAATCTGTCGTTTTTTTTCGTGCAATTGATCAAATTATTGTACATCTATACTTGTTAAAAGAATAAAAATCGATTTATTTACAATATACATATATAGATGTAATCTATTTATTTTAGAAGAATGAATAGTAATGATGAAAATGTTGAATCTGATGAACGTAAGTAAAATATATAAAGAATTCTTTTTCTTTTAATTGTTTTATTAGATGAAGAAGTAGAAGAGGAAGAAGATGATGATGAAGAACAACACCAACAAATTGATGATAATGAAGCTGAAGCAGAATCAGAAGTAGAACAAGAAGAAGAAGAAGTAGGAAATGATGGTAGTGGTCAAGAAGAATCTAATCAACAAGAAACTGTACAACAAGATGATGAAGAAGAGGAAGAACAAGAGCAAGAGCAAGAAGAAGAAGTAGAGGAAGAAGAACAAGAAGAACATGAAGAAGAAACTGATACAAGAGGTATGATTTGAAGTTAGAGAGAGAAAATAGAAATTTCATTGAGTTGATTACAAACATATTCCTAGATCAGACTGCCAGATGTCGTATCTTATTTGCAGAAAAGATAAATACAATCATCATCAATCTATACTCATTTAAGAACCTCGCACTAGTATTTCCATAAAAAATTTTAAGCTCATATATGAAATCGTCATTATTGTAGTGTTACATTAGATTCTCTTTGAAAGATCTTAGCACTGTATAATATATTTTTTAGTTTATGATAATAGAGTCTCTAAAAGTGCTCATACTACTTAATTATCTCACTTTAATCTAGTAATCATTGTATCGAACATCATGTCATTTACTTTTAGATGCTGTTGATCCTACTAATCCATTAGATGAAGATTCTGTTGAAGCCGGTAAATATAAAATATGAAAGATATTTTCTAATAATTTTCAAAAAATAATTCTAGCTCAGAATCTTACACAAGAGGATGTTTTCGGTGAAGATTTAAGTGATTTAAGTGAAGATGAAGATGGTGTACGAAGAAGAAAACAAAATGAGTCTGATTTAAATGGAAGTCAAGTATGTTAGAAATTGTTTATATTTATATATATGATATAAGAATATTTCGAAATAGAATGGAAATGAAGAAGAATTACTTGAAGAAGAAGAGGAAGAAGAACAAATTCCAGTCGATACACCTCATGTTACATGTGATCTTGGTCGTGATATTCATCTTATTAAATTACCAAGTTTTATGAAAATTGAACCTAAGTAAACACGTGTATCTATTTGTATTATTTTAATTTGAAATTTTTTTTAAAGACCTTATGATCCTCAATATCTCACTGAAGATGTTCGCGATGATGATGATGAAGAAAGTAAAGCTCGATTAAAATTACGAGTAAGAATTTTTTTGATTTTAATTCTTTAATTACCTAATAAAATTTTCAGATTGAAAATACTATTCGTTGGCGTGATGGTTTAAATGAAGCTGGTGAAACTGTACGAGAAAGTAACACAAGATTAGTACGTTGGTCGGATGGAAGGTATGCTAAAATTTCATAACATCGTAATTTTATAGAGAAAAAAAACATTTCTTTTAGTTTATCTTTACATGTTGGTAAAGAAATCTTTGATGTATCAAGAGCAAATATACAAAGTGATCATAATCATCTATTTGTTCGACATCAAAAAAGTATGCAAGCACAAGCTGTTTTTCGTACAAAACTATCATTTCGGTAATAAGATATATATTTCTAAAAAAAAACAATAACCTTTTATTTTCGTTCTTTTAGGCAACATTCTAATGATTCATTAGCACATTTAAAACTTAAATTTGCTAGTAAAGCCAATCCAGCACCAAAAGTTCGTGTTCTTTCAAATATTAAAGCACCTATTTTAAATAGTGCCGATATGATGAAGGTTAGTTTATTAAGATTGATTTTTTTCTAATTGAAAATTGTTTTCATTATTATATAGAAAGAAGAACAACGAATGAGAGCGGAAGAACGACGACGTAATCAACAAATACGACAACGTGAACGAGCTGCTTATAGAGATCGTAATATGTCAGCAAGTTATCTTGAAGATCGTGATGAAGATGATGAAGATATTGAACAAGAATCCATAAGTACAATTAAGAAAAATGTTAAAAAGAAAAAACTTACAGGTGGATATCGAGCTGAAGTTACAAGTGAAGAAGAAGAAGAAGATGATGATCCAAATGATAAATTTATTGGTCAACGATCATCAACTACAACAAAACATCGAAAAATAACTTCTTCCGATGAAGATGAATCGGATAATGAACAACAAGCTAAACGAAAACGTGTACAATCTGCTAATGAAGAAGAAGAAGAGGAGGAAGAAGAAGAAGAAGAGGAAGAACAAGAGTCAGATTGATACTAATTACTTATTTTTTCTTGTCTTGAAATCTCATCAGAATAAAATTAGATTGTTTAATAATGATATCAAACAAAAACAAAATTAACAATTGAAACTATGTAAAATACTAACATTATATATAATTAAATAAATGCAATCTCTTAATTTATATTTTTATCTAAAACTTAATCACGAAATGTTCAATCGAACAGTTAAAATCTTATAAGGACTATTACAGAGGAAAATCAGATAAATATTCAATTCCGAACATATTTGTTGATTGTAGCAAGGGTATACAACAGAGACTTCATGCATGAAGTCTCATGAAGTCTTATAAAGTCTTATTAAATCTTCAAAGTCTCTTGAAGTCCTATGAAGTCTCTTGAAGTCTCTTGAAGTCTTTGAAGTCATATGGAGTCTTTTGAAATCTGTGAAGTCCATTGAAGTTTCTTGTAGTTTTTTGAAGTCTCTAGAAGTCATCTGAAATCTTTCGAAGTCCGCTGTTACCCCCTTGGATTGTATTTACGTCTATTTACATTCATTATAAACTTTTCTAATTTAACTATAAGCTGCGTAAAAGCCAATGTCAAATAAACATAGTAGTTTCACAATCGATCTTAATTCTAATATAAACAAAGAATTACTTCATTATAATATATTTGTTTCGATTGATAGAAAATTCTTTTAAGAAGTATATAATACTGATATTAAAAACAATAAAATAAAAAAAATCGAATGAAAAGATTTAATAGATCCTTTTGAAGTAAAAAATAATTGACGTACATTATCAGCAATTAATTGATGTATACGCGTAGTAAAATGATATTCATCAATAAAAATATAATTTTCAGGATTTGTACATAATGTTATATTTATATTACTTAAAGTATTCCAACAATTTCTCGTATTAGTAATTCCATATGCTGAAGTATTATTAAGAATATTTACAATCAGAGAATAGACATCAAATAAATACATTGAAATACGTAAATATTTCATTTGAAATGATTCAATTGAATTCGATAGATTATGATTATGTGCAAGTGTAAGTGCATTCATATAACTATTCATATTGAAACTAATAGCAGATGGATATGCTTGTATTGGTGATTGATTAACAATAAGAAAGTGTTTCGCACCTATTTGACTTAAATCATGAATTCCATTCATTAAACTATTAACAACTGCAGATGGACGTAAATATATATTGAAAAAGTAATCATTTCCACCAACCCAAATTATATAGATAGTTCGATCAAAATCTATCATACTTATATTAGTAGCATTTTTATACATCTCTATTTGTTGACGAACACCTGGTACAATTACATTGAATGCTGTAACACCTGTTACTAGAGTATTATCAGTAGTTGCACTACCATATGCATAATTGATTAATTTAGATATGCCTAATTTTTCTATCCAAAGAGGTCCATTAGAAAATCGTCCTTGATAGTATGGTGGAACAGGAGGCCATTTAAAATTTGTTAAATTATAAACATTACCCGTATCACAATTTGAATCTCCAAAACTTACAATTGTATCATATGGAATATTTGAAGATTGTATCGTATAAATATTTAATATCATTATTAGAAAGAGAAGATCATTGCATACTCGGATACCATACATTTTCAATTGTATTATACAAAAAGAAATGTTCTATACTATGTTTGTATTCTACAACGTAAGATAGAAAGCCGTAGACAACCTTGATGAATATTAATAATGAAAAGAGAAAAATAACGCATATTTCAGTTCTTTTGAGTTTGTAAAAGGTGTGTGTAGGGTATTGGAATATAAGTATACAACAATTATTCATTCATTTCGAACGATTAGAAGTGTATACAATATAAAAATCATAACTATGACGTCTGGAAGAAATCATTTAGTCATAAAAAAGAACATTTAACGAATTTTGTTTCTCAGATGTAAATAACCTTGAGAATGAAACGTACATTAAATGACTCATGTAAAGTCGTAGATGCTAATATACAAATATTATTATATCGAAACTTATATAAATATGATCAAAAAGATAAGTCATTTTTATGGATCATATTACTCTCACAACATGTCTGTTTACAAAATATGACCATATTATGTAGCAAATTCGATTTAAATGATAAAACGATTAATAATATCGCATAATCCAGATATGAGTTAAACAAAAAATTACAAATGATGTTATTCTTGCAGATGATATTTGATCTAGGTTAATAATTTAAAATTTCCTGAATGATCAACACTACTTACTTGTTCAAATAGTTCGATAAGTAATAAGTCTCAAGCAATGTAAATGATCATTTATCACCATTAGGGATTACATAGGTATTCAATCGGGACATATGTAGCTGATAATATTTGAAATAATAACATAGCAGTTATATATATATATATCCATTATCTATCTTAAATAGTTTCCTCTATATAGATAAAAAAAAATATCTCTTTTGACAGCAAAAGATATTTATGTCTATGGACATCTATATTCATTACAATCTATCATCTGATACTTTCATATTCTATCAAAAATGTTGACCTATTATTCCATGATAAAAATAATTCATACAACCGTCTTTTATGCCATCCAAATGCATCAATTTTTTATTTTCGCCCAAGACATTCTTCATTGGTAATATCATTCTAACATCATAAAATTTTATTTCATATGATTAATGAATAGATTGATCGTGCGAAAGCTAAATTTGATCTATAATGATTAATATTTGCATAAATATTTGATAACGATCATTTAACAGGAGAAAAAAAAACAAACTGGACTGAAAGACAAATATTTTTCCATGTAAAAGATTATATATCAGTTATAGGACAAAGTTTAAGTAGATTATTAAATTTCAATAATCCAAAATGGATTAACCGTGTGCGCATATTCCATCATTATCAGGTAAAGATAAGATCTTTTTACAGTTTTATGAATAATATGTTATCAATTTTTAGTTATAGAAATAGAAGGATGAAGAAGTTGTTTCGCTTTTATTCCATGAAACAACTAATCTATCTTTAAAAAAATTTGATGTTATTCCTAATAGCTTTTTCTCTATTTTTTATTAGTTACTAAATAAAACATAACTATCTATATTTTATTGCTCTCCACCAACCAGCTTAACACATTTTTTCTCTTCTCAATTCATAGTAACTATCGCATTTTTTAGCACGTCAATCTTGCTCACGGTATAATCGTATATTTTTATCAACAAGAAATCCATAGCTGATTACAGAATAAGTACTGGGAAGTGAAAGGCTATATCCTGTTTTGCCATATAAAATTAATGTCGGGTTATTTTTGATAATATTAGTTATATCGACATAACGTATAACCAATAATAAAACTCTCTATAATTATGTAGAAGAAATAGTCGAACTTGTGTTATTTGCAATGAAGGTTAACTAACAAATGCAATGAAAAAGTTTTTATGTAATCGATATGATTTAAGAACAACCTTTTCTATAATCCTAAAAATCATTCAAATAAAGGATTACTAGTTTTATCCGAAAACATAATATTATCATATAAGTAAAAAGAATAACAGACATCGAGATAAATGATTACGAATTTTTTTTTTATTCAGTTATATTATTTATATTCTACTTTATTTAGATCTCGAGTAAATACAACAATGTTCTATCATCAATTATATCGTATGTTTATTAAATAGTATAGAGTACAAATGTATGTATTATTTTTTAGTTGTATTGCTTCTGGTATTGGTTACAATAAATATAAACAGTTTAGCATTAACGATAGATCAAAAATCGAATACTGTTCATCTTGAAGCTCCTAATTTAAGTGGACAATATCATAATAATCGTCCATCTCTTCCGTTTTCATCAAATGTAAATAAAATTGAGCTTATTTCTAAAGCAGATATTATAAATCCATGTAATGGTACATTTATGAAAACAAATGGAACTACATGTGGTTTGAAAGAAATTATGCTAGGTCGATGTTATCAATATCAATACATACAACGCGGTCTTTATCTATCAAATACAACGTAAATAAACAATTATATATATATTTGACCTTTGCTTTTATTTTTCTAGGGCAGTAAAAAATTGTACAGAACTTTATGAATTATTTGAATCTGAAGTTCGTTTTAAACCATATTGTAATATGAATATGAGTACATATGAAAAATATTTTCAACGTGCACTTGAAGGTGTACATGTTATCAATCGAGTAAATAATAATCTGTTTATAAAAATAATTTATTTTGTTTTTGATAAGGCTATTTTTTGGAGTGGAACTTATGCAATAACTCATACTTATAGTGGTCATGGTCATAACTATATTACATTAGAAGATACATTAGCAGCAAATATGCTCGATGGTTTAATGTGGTGTGGCAAAGAAAATGATCCTCAAGGTTTCGATTATGTTAGTTGTCCAAATAATTGTCAAGATAATCGATGGGCTGATTTAGCATTTTGGGGTCTTGCATCAAAAACGGTAAAATTCAAAATTGATTTACATCTGACTGTTTTGTTTTTTGTTAAATCTTTAGTTTGCTGAAAGAGTTGCTGGTGAAATTTATGTTGTTTTAAATGGTAGTCGAACAGATGGTCGACCATCCTATCGTAATGGTTCATATTTTGCTGAATTTGAATTACCTAATTTTCAACGAACTGGTCCGTATCGTGTAACAAAAATCAATATTTTAGTATTACATACACCTGATCTTCCAGTTGTGTAAGTTAAAAAATTTGATTTGAATTCAATTATTTGTTGATTTTTAGTGAACGATGTGGAGATAAAAGTATAATTCATTTAGAACATCTTATTCGAGATGCTCAATTTGAATATATATGTATAGATGATCCTGATGAATTACTTTTAATTATGTGTGGTGATTCATGGGGAGCACGAGAATGTGAAGTTGCACGAACTGCTCTAAGACGAGCATGGGATTTAAAAGTACTTGGAAAATCAAATGCTAACTACTATCCATTATCATTGCTACTTTTATTTTTTACCGGTATTTTTCGTCAGATGTTATCAAATTGAAATTAAATAATAAAATCCTATTGACACCGGTTTATTATTATAATGTAACTAGAATAAATGATTTTATAACTTTTAAATACAAGATGGGTGATGAATCAAGAATCTGATAGTTTCAGAAAACGACGGAATAGTCAATTTATCACAATTAAGATAACTATCATTAATGAAAATGTCATAGAGAATTAATATCGATATTAATTTTACACAAATTTGAAAAATGGTCAGAATTATTTCTATTTACTATAGATCATATATTATCAGTTAATATCTAGCCAAGGAATAAATTAATGTACTATGCTTGTCTGAAAGTAATTGAAATAAGATTATCAATGAAGAATGTCTTAAGCGATTTGACTGTATCGAAAGGAGAGTAATAATAAAAATGATATTAATCGAATATTTCTTTTGTTGCAATTACGTAAACAAACAAATTATGTTATAGTCAAAGGCCAGTTGTAAACATATCATGCAATATACTCTTCGGAATAAAGTTCATCTCGAGAAATTTACTAATATGATACATAAGCAATAGTAAACAAAGAGAAGTTTGCCACATTGTCAATTACCCATAACCATATTTACTATCTATTATAGATATTCAAACAATTCAAAATTTTATTGTGACATGTCTTTATTCGTCTAAATGAATGTCACATGTGGAAAACTATAATTGATTACTATGAAGACAGACTTTCTGTCAACAATAGCAATTGCGTGTGCACTACTAACTCATTGAACTTTGTTTATATACAAAAAAAGTAACAGATTTACTTTTATTAATTAACAAAAAAGATTCTATATGGTATAAATATAATCAAATAGCGAAAGAGAACAAAAAGAAAACGCATTCAATCATCAATAATAGCTTCACATAGGAATATATTTGATAATTGGTATTTAAACAACCGTTGTTGGACTATGAAGAGTAAGAGCAAGCTAAAATGAAAAAAAATCAATAGAAATATTTTGATTTTAAAATAAATAAAATTTCATGCAAATGATTATTAATATATTCATATGCTTTTGTTTCTAACTAGCAACATGACAGAAGAGACAAAAAAAAACAGACGCACTTCATTTTCTAAATCATCAGTCATTGATGATTCTTTTGATTGAAAAAGCTAAATTTATAACTTTAGATAATTAAGCAAATAAAATACTTGAAAAAAATTATACCTTCAAACTTGGAGATATTCCATTAGGAATACTATTATCATTCATTGGACAAACAAGTTCATTAGTATCAACTGAACGTGCACGTCGATGTGCAAATAAACCACGTGGAAACTAAATAAAAAAGTCGAGATAAAAATCAAATTTTCTCTCTCTCTTACTTTAACTTTTGTATGTAATGTTAATGGTTGACAATTCGGAGATTTTTCATATTGATTTTTACGATTTTGTAAATCATTACCAATTAATTCTTGAAAACGCATAGTTAAATGTCGTCGTAATAAAGTTTTCGACATTGGTATCGATAAAATTTCTGCAAGAGTTGAAACATTAAAACGTAATTCAAGAACCTAAACATAATCGATATTTAAAACAAAAAAGGTAATATCAATACTAATTATTTCAAGGTAAACCTTGATATCTAACAAAACCAAATCAATAAAAAACAAAAACACTGAAATAACATACGTTATTTTATTCTTTCTACTGTCATCAATAATTATCAAAGTAATCGAAAACGTAACTGTCAAGTGAATAGGTATAATACTATTATCTACGGAAGTCGTTCTGATTATTAATAAGACGGTTTTTCGAGTTAAGAGATACTCCTTACTTCACTTTCTTTAATCTAAATTTCATCAGTTCTATTCTTACAATAAGAGCACCACAAACACCAGATCCACGTAAATTCGGTGCATATTCCGATAAATCAATTGATCTTAACCATTCCATAACACGATGATTTGACCAATACATAATTTCATTGATATTATTTTTATCATTTGGATTTGGTCGTCGTTTTATACATGTTGGATTAAAATCATTTAGACGTAAGACTTGTATTGAACGTTTTATACTTAAATGATGAAGTTCATTTGTGATATTTAAATAAATAATATCTTCCTTTAAAGAAGAAAAAAAAGAAAATTTCAATGAATCTATCATCTTTTTTGTTCTTGCTTACAAGAGTTAAATTATTAAGTATTCGACCATCTACTTTCGATTCAGCAAAATATTCTTTATATTGTGGTAAACCAATATCATCAAGCCATTCTTAACAAAAAAAAAGAACTTGAAAATGAATTTATTATTCCTAAAGGTTTTCAATATACTTTGAACCCAATATGTATCAAGACTATTCGCCTCTGTTTGACTTGTACATAGACCATTTAAACATAATTGTAATTTCTTTCTATGTATAGGATTACGCATTCCAATTTTCTATAATTACATCCTAATAAAATATCTCTGTTTGTTAACATTTATTAGCTTTACTTTTTCTAATTCTTGTGGTGTTGCATGTAATAATTGCAAACCATTTTTAAAATGTTTTCGACATTCACTTGCATATTGTCCAAGACCAATACCATATAACCAATTAACAATTTGTTCTGTTTGCCAATGTGCAAATGTTGTTTCTATTGGACTAAAATAAAGCATTTATATTAGTGATAAAGACAAAAGTCACAACAATGATTTAATCTATTCAATATAGTTTATAATTCTCGAGAAGTTAAAGCTTTTGACTACAGTAGCTAATCATTGACATTCACAGAGGACATTTAAAAAAAGATTGTCTCATAAGCCTTTTCATTCATACATATAATTACAATATGATAAAAATATCTAATTAAGTTTTGTGATTCAAAGTATAACATTTGAAAAAAAAAACCTAATATAATTATTCTCTTTTACACAGATGTGTTGTACATTTAACTTCTATGACAGGCGCTGTTATCTGTAACATATAGTTTATATTACTCTTCTGTTTTGTACTATTCTTAGATACTTCAAGGGCTCCTTATTAATTTCTTACATTCTTATTGCGACTTAATAGTCTGATCAACACGTCTTTTACGGTAACCTTCATACTGACACATTCATCTTTTTTTTTATAGAATTTCTTGCAAAAGATCGATATCTTTATATGATATGATCAATTAAAAGTATTTTCTTTTACCTTAATGTTTTTGATGAAGTACTTCCATTCGTAATTGTTGCTCTTAAACCACCACGTTGAAATGAACTTTGTATTTGTTGTTCATTATCATCTCGAATATTTCCTGAACTCGTTCGAATAATTCTACCAAAAATACTTTTTAATCCTTTCGCACTCGATGATTTATTTTTATCTAAATTAGTTGATGATGTTTTTTTATATAATGAATATTTTTGACTTGGTCCATCCGATATATAACCACTTTGATCATCTAAATAGTTCGAAGATACAACACACAACTTTACTATATTATATTTATATTTTACGTTTATCATAATTTCGTTTATTTGATGGAAATGTTACTTGTGATATATTAGAAATAGGTGTCTATAGACAAAAAAACAATCAATAGAAGAAATATTAACAAAATTTTCAAAACATACAGTTGTTAATTCACGTTTTAACATTGGTTCAGCACTTGAAGCCTAAATTTATTAATATATTAAAATAAATGAATTTTCAAATTTTACTTACACGATGTAATGTTAAGAGAGTTGATTGATTTTGCGATGAATCATAACCATTGTATATTGATAAAGGTTTTTGAATTAGCTAATTGAATGAAAAACGAAAGAATAGGAAGATGAGTTTTTATTTGTGAAAATAATTACTTGAGAATCCTTATCACTATTAAGAGATGGTACTGAATTCGAATCTGATATATCACCGTCTGCTTCATAACTAAGTTTTTGAATCGTATGATTATTAACTAAATAAGTTTTAAATAATTCATGTTTTATTTACATATATATGTATATATACTATAATTATCAATCTTTTGTATATTAAACGATGGTATTGGTGTTAGAGGAATAGGTTGACATTTGGTTAATTGAATTTGCAAATCTTCAATTTTTCTTTCCTATAGAAACAAGAAAAATATCAAAAGAACATAATTAAATTAGTTAATATTACATACTTTTTCATCATTTGATTTAACAAGAGTTTCAATACGTCGTTTTAATCGTTCGATGTCATTTTCTAGATAAGAGATAATAAATAGATGTCTGTCAAGAAACAAATGATGGTAATAATAAGAAGAAAAAAAGTGAAGACAGATGGAATGGAAACGAAGTCTCGACTATTTAAACTCAGAAAAACATATTTACTTGATGATCTTTACTATCAACAGTTGATATATAAATTTTATTTTTTGTTTTTGTTCTCTTACCACGACGATTAAAATGTTGTGATGAATATCTTTGAAGAAGTGAAGTCGTAGACACATATGGATATACAAAAAGACATGGTTCAACATGAATATAGGACGACATTGAATATCTCAATAGGATTTTCTAGTTAGGCAATCGTTCGCGCAAGAGATAATCGTTTGATGAATTGTACAATGTTGTATATAGACATGATAAAAAGAAATACATATATATGGAAAGAGGAAAAAGAAGATATCAGAGCAGTAGGACGAGTAAAACATCATGATAATGTATCTCCCTCTTGCTCTATTTTCTTTTACAGAGAATGTTTGACCTTGTTTTAAAGATATTGATTAAATATAAACGAACTCATTTGTACGCTTTCCATATATATGTATATATATATATATACACAAAAGATTATTACATCATAAAACATCTTTTACCAGTAACTGCCATTGAAGTCATATGTCCATTAAGTACTGTTGTTGATCGAGAACCAATCCGGTCATTAGTTTCATTAAGAAAGAGATTTTTATAACTTGTGTTCTCTGCCTTGAAAGAAAAATAATTAATTTTGAATAAAACAATATTTTAAATAATAAACTAACTTGAAGTCGTTGAACTTTATCTTCAAGTTCAAAACGTTCTGTTTCTAATATATTAAGACGAAGTTTGAAACGATTTATTTCATTAAAAAAATCAAATGAATTAAGTATATTTTGTTGTTCTTGCTCCTAAATTATAATACTTCAATTAATTATCAATAAAAGCAAAAAAAAAACTAATATCTAATCTATTGTTCTTATTTATAAATAAAACATCTTCAATTTACCTTTAACGACATCATTCTATATGTATGGAGTAGACTTTCTGTTTTGTTGTTATTAGTACTCTAAGGCTGCCAGACACGAATATTATTCTTTTGAAGAAAAGAAACAAATGATTTTAATCAATTAAATACTGTCAATGATAAAAATGTATGTAATAACAGCGTCGATGCGTGCTCTTTCTATTTCTTCTCTATAGTGCTTGAAGAATATTTTCGTAATTTTTCTTTTTCTTTCTCATACCTTTCTAGGCTTATACATGTTCTATTTTTTTGATATTGACGATTTCGTTTCCTATATGCGTGTAACCTCGAACATGCATGAATATGTACGATAGTATGACCGAGCACGTTTTGTTTTTTTTTGTTTCGTTATATATGTTAGGCTTCATCATTTAAAGAATGATGAAGCTATCTAATGATTTCGTATTTGTAATACATACATGTGAAGAATGATGAATTTGATAATTCATTCTTGGAAATGTTTTATATTGAGAATTTGATTGTTGTATTGATAAATTGTGTTCATTTTTCGATTGTTTTAATGTGTTAATTGAATGATTAGAATTCTATAGAATATTAAGATGAAAAAAAATATTTATTATCTTACATCTGCATCAATAAATCGTCTATTATCATAAATAGGTATGTCGTAAGGATAAAGATCCATTTCATCTAAGATGATTATCATCTATCTGTCAAAAATATCGCAAAGTAGTTAACAATTATGATTATGCTCAATATCTTCATATATTACGCATATGTATTTTATAGCTTATCAAACATTCAGTCAGATCAAGAGATAAAATATGTATGAGAAAATGCAAGTACGTATGTATAACAAAAAAAAAGAAAAGAATGAGAACTGATTTATTATAAAACTGACAAAAGAAAAAGACAAAATTGAATTTTTTTCATATCATCATAAATTCTCGTTTTTGCCTTTGCTTGTATATATGTACATCTTATATATTGGTGCTTATTTTCTTATCTCTTAATAAAAGAAACATGATGGATAGGTTTTTATATCCTGTCTTTTATATGACATCTCAAGTTAGCCATAATAATATCTCGCCTCATAACCACAATAATATTGTTTGTTACTTCGTTTTTTTCTTCTTCTCTGCTATTACATATCTGAATGTTAAGATTAGCCTCATTAATTTTGTATATATTCTCACCATTAATATTTGTTTCCGTACATCGTAATAATCAATGACATTTAATGGTAATTCAGTATGTGGAAGATATGCATGTGTTTTATTATTATTCTTATGCTTGGTTAAACTAACATTAAACATTGAAGGTGTTGGTGGTATACGATTGAAATACTTTCTTGTTTCCATTATATTAATAAGATTAATAAATCATTAATAGAACATATGTTATGAAATCGATCTGATATGATTTCAAAAAAAAAGTGAAAATTGTATTCTACACAATTCTTACTGATGATATATGATCGGTCAATTCTATTACTGTTATATGAACTTTACAGTAGTTGAAGGAAAAAGAAAAAGAAGAAGAAAGAGATTAACTTTTTCTTTTTTTCGTTCTTATATTTATCTTTTAGCTTTTCTTATTAGTAGAATTATTCGTAGATTTATTTAATTAAAAATCCTATAATGAATATAAATAAGTCGATTTACTAATTAGCAAAAAAAAACAAAATGACTTCTTATTAAGTCAATAATTATCGATTTTAGATTTGTAAATATCGATAGAATTTATTCACCGGAATTAATTCATATCAATCAACTGAATATCATATATATATATGCATATACTTCTTATGGTAATATTTCATTGAATTGATTATGAATATTATGTGCATATAAGCAGATAGACCTTTGAATAGGCCAATTGCATCACTCATAAAATTCTTCATTTTATAATTCACTTTAGACAATGTATTTATCTTCTACTGATAACGCTATCATTCTCTCTTGTAATATCAGATGAATGGCAGCAGCTATTTATATTTCTTTTCTTGCACAATAAACGAACGAATGCGCGCGAACATGTATAGACAAAAAATAGTTGATGTATATTAATAGTTTTACTAACGAACAAAAAGAAAAAGGAATAGAACGGATAATAAAAGATGTGAATTTTTAATAGTAAGAAGAAAAATTTGATTTTTAGTTTTACGATCTAATCTTAAACATTTAGAAGAAGAAGAAGAAGAGAATGAACAATGACAACAATTATACATATACATTGGAAATTATAGTCAAGAAAAAGAAATTCAATAGAAGATATCAAGGCGTTGATGCTGATTCATTTGTGTCTGTTGTTTTACTTGAATTGTCTGATTTTGTTCGTGTTAAATCATTATTAGGAACTGATTTTGATGGATCCGACCAAAATTTTTCTACCTAAATATTTAAAACAAAAAAAAGTATTTTTTCATTTTTATTTTTTTTTCTCGAAAATTTACCAATTTAATAATATGTGTTTTTGTATCATTATCACCTTTTGCTGATGCTTTACTAGCTGCACTATTCGGATGTGCCGGAGCATCAATAGAAACATTTTCTGAACGATATGGTTCACTAATTCGTACACAATTATTAATAAGAATATCATTATTTGACCAACGAATAACTTGATTCATTCTAACATAGTATAAATTTATATACATTATATAAAGAAGAGAAAATCAGTTACGTTTTTTTAATATCTCGAAAAAGTGCTTGACCAATTCGACTAGCTTTTATATTAACAAATAATGCTTCTTTTCTTTTTTCAGCTTCATTTTCCGTTTGACGTTTTTTAAGCTAATAAAATACATTTATAGATATTGATAATTTATATTTTTTGTCATAATTTTTTACTTTATTAATATCAACAGGATAAAGTGGATCAAGTGTTTCATCATTTGGTTCTTGTTCAACAGTATGTTCACGACAATGATTAAGATTAATAACAGCTACAGATGTTGTACCCGGTTTTGAACCTTTAATATCTACGAATTCAAGAAAAAATATATTTCGACTGTTATATAAATAAGAAGAAGAAACTTTTATCAAGTCATATTCAGAATACTGTAAGAGGAAATGTATGCATTGTAACCACACTTACATACTATATTAGCATTCATCGAAGAATCTAGCTTAGTTATGCATTACGATCTACATATAAACTAAAACCAAGTTTTACTAAATCTTGATAAACGAAATATTACTTACGTAATGTAACCAAATTCGATGACGGATCATATGCTACCACTTTACCAGTACGAATATTGTCAAACATAGTTGTTATTCGTAAAGTACTATTAATACGTATATTAGTTGTTGGTGTAAGTGGTGGTGATGATGCTGATATTGGACTTGAAGAATGATTGCTATTTTCTCGTTTTAAAACATTATTAGTACTATTTTGTGTATTATCATGATGATCCATTGGACGCATCTAAAAGAAAATTAAATTGAAAGTTCTTCTATACTGTATTAGTTGACAAAAATGTCAACATAACTATTCAGATGAATTGAAAAAAAAATAAACAAATGTTTTTCATACAACGAGATGTCATCTTGTATTTATGTAAATATTTTGACAACTTTCTATGAATCATTTGATCAAAAATGAATCTTTTTTTTTCATCTTACTTATTAATAAATAATTTTACATGTCATCATGAAAGAAAATGAGATGTTTTTTTTCCTCTTTTGAATATCTTTCAAGTAATAAGAGAAAAATAAAATATAGGATTCGTTTGGTGACTAGACAATCATAGTAAGAGAAATAGAAAAAAATATGTGGATAGGATAGATAGATAGTTCGTTCGATAGAAGAAGGAAGGAAGGGCCGACCGATCACAGAAATAAAAACGACAAATCGTGATTAAGTCAATAGATGTCGTCCTTGAATAGATAAATTAAAACTTGCTAATAATCTTTCTGACAAATTGAAATACATAAATCTTAGAAAACTAACAGATAAGTAACCTTCAAATATGTTAATATAACATTTTTGTATGTACGTGTGATAAAATATATAAAAGCAAATCTTTATAATACTGTTTCTGAAGGTTATTTTAAAATAATGTTTAGGTGTGATTTATGATAACTGTATTGCATCAAGTTTGAATATCATGAACTCTTATATATCTATTTTTCATTTATGATGATTTAAATGAATCAATTGCAAAGTTTATTTTTTAAATTAAAACAAAATCTTAATTAAAAATATCAATATCTAATTGCCATTCATTTTTTCCTTCACCAGCACGTTTCCATATAACTTGATAATTGCCTTTATCTAATGAATGTTGATAAGAACTAGTTTCAATCAATCGATCTGGTCCAGCTTCTACAACAGTTCCTGTTGAAAGACGTAAATTACTAATACCAGCATCACGACCACCTTGCCAGAATTTTTTTATTTCTTCACGTCCTTCATATTTATTTTTATCGGGTGGTAAAAGTTTTCCTTCTGGTGTATAACATTGAACTAATTCATCAAGTTTGCCTGCATTAAAAAGTTCTTCAAAACGACGATTAGCAGCATCAATTGTATCAAATGATGTCGACATGATAATTCTAAAAACAAAAAATCCTTGTTTGTCTTTATGGATGTTTCTCTAACGCTGTTACATGAATATTTATATATCATATGATAACGCATATTTTTTGTTTTGTAAGATAAAGAAGAAAAAAAAAAGGTTAACCTTGACCCAAATATAATTATTGTGAGATAGATAATATGTAGCTTTTATTTTTATTTTCTAGCAAACGAATAATAAAGTCATAATCACAAATGTATATGCATATTGAGAAGTAAGAAAAAAAAAGCAACGAGAATATATCACAAAATTGACATGGATGGTTTTTAATTACACACACTCACACACAAAAAAAAAGAACAATCATTTCATTCATTACTCATATAACATCAGACATTAATCAAAGAGAAAATTACATGTTTATAAAAGAAAAAAAAGAAGTATAATAACGTATATACATATATGCGATTTAATGGAAATGAAAGAAAAAAATTAATCAGTTATACTAGCTTCTTGTAATAGATTTGCTTGTTCAGCTGTCATTTCAATTGGTTCAAAACGACCCGATTCATGAATAATTGGTTTATTAGAATTATCAGTGGTTGTTGTAATTGTTTTTTCTTTAATTTCATCTTCATCACTTAATGATGATGAAGATTGACTTGACAGTGATGTAGCTGATGAAAGCATTTCAGGACTTGATGTAGGTTTGATTTCATTCGTTGTTTGATTATTAGTAGATGTTAATTGACGAGCAAGTTCATATTGATCATCATCTGTATTTGTAGTTGTTGTTGAATAACTTGAACGACGAGAAGATTGAGAAGGTGGATATACAAAATCATTTTTTTGACTTCCAGTATCGACAATTAAATTTGATGACTAAAAGATTAAATAAAACATATACAAAACAATAATGAAACATATTTAATATCTTACTTCATCAGTATCTGTTATTAATGTAGCAACAATTGGACCCATTTGTCTAAAAATATTATCTTGTCATTTTCATAGTTAGCGAAGGTACTTACGCATCATTATCATCATCATCATCGTCATCATCATTATTATTATTTTGATTTCGATCATTCGTTGGTGTTGTTGGTGAATTAAGTTTTCGATGTGCAAAATTAAAAAGACCTTTTGGTGGTGTTTTAGCTTCTGGTTGTGGAGATTTTTTACGTTTAAATTCGGCTTCATCTCGAGCAGCTCGTCTAATTTTTTCAACAAAAAAAAAGGAATGAAAATGAATAGTTATATATAGTTATACAAACAATTCAAGTTGAAGTTCAAGTATAATATTTTCCATTAACATTACTTCATTTTCTCGTTCACTCTTTAATGTATCAAAACGAGCTTTTATTTGTTGTAATTCACGATCACGATGTCGTAAAAGTTCTTCGAAATATTTCTAAAAAAGAAGAAAAATTCTTATGGAATAATTCTATAAATGTATAACAATTTACACGTTGTTCTATTTCAAGTTTATGTTTTTCTAATGGAATCATTTCACTTGAAGGTGGATTTAATGGTTTAAGTTCATTAACAGCTGATAATATTGGCAATGGTTGTTTATTTTCTTCATCATTATTTTGATCTCGAAGTAATTGTTTAATACTGTAATATAAATCAAGATTATATTTACAAATAAACAAAAAAAACGATATATCAATTACTGTTTTGATTTATAGCATAAGAATGGTGTTATATCAATAACATCAATTTCTGAATTATTAAGTAATAGAGGAGCAATGATTGGTCCATCTTGCTTGAAACAAAAACTAAATATATAAAAAAGAAAACCATATGTTATGGAATTATGATTCAAAGGATAATATACCTAAAATCAATAGCACTTAAACCAGCTAATTGATCGCATAAAATAAATGCTTGTGAAGAAGTCATAATAGAATCATCATGATAGAATTTTCTAGAAGAATATTTTTATCATAAAAAAAATTGTTTTTCGAAAATTAGTAGTTTTTCATACCGTACTAGATGACAATCAGATATTACAATTTTTAAAAGTTCAGAAAGTTTTTTTTCCATTAATGCAAATTTTATCCATGTTCGACCCTGAAATATAAAAATTCTTTTTATACATCAATTAAAGTTCGATGAAAAGTAAATACAATAAGATTATTTCAATAGAATATATTCGTTGGCTATTTTTAAAGAATATTTGAAAGTTTATTTTAGAGTGAAAATTTCCTAGTTATTATTGAATAAGTGAAACAATATTCGTAACTTTTCATTATTATTCAAACAATAGTTTTACCTTTTCTTTGTTACTTTTTGTTTTTGATACTTCTTCTACACGTTCGATGACTAAATAAATTTGAAAAAATATAAATTGTAAATTATAAAATTTATACATACTACTTTGTCTTGATGATCCAATACATGCAGGACGAACAAAATCCCAAAAATATCGTCTTTCTGATAGCCAATTTGCTATAAGAAAAACAAAATATAAAATAAAATTTTATAAATAATTTTGTGTTTTTACCTTTCATACGAAAACTAAGTACACGTTCAAGTGTTAAAATAAAATTTGTTACATCTGCATTTCGATCATCAAGTACTGGTGATGCTGTTGGTGAAGATGATTGATCAATTAATGTATTTAATGTTAATCTATACAAATAAAAAGAATTTTCCTTTTAAAAATATATTTCACATTGAATATGTTTACACTTACTTAATTAAACATAATAGATTTGCTTTGTCTCTTTCTGTATTAAGACTTTCATTCACATTCATTATTTATCTAAAAAATGTCTTTTTTTCTCTTATTTTGTGTTAATATACATCCACACAAACAAACAATATACTGGCTGGGATGATGATGATGATTTTATATAGGTGAGAGAATGATGATAATAATAAACACAAAAAGAAAAACAAAAGAAAAAGAACCAACACACATATTTTTTTTTGTTTGAACATCAAAATGAAAAAAAAAACGCATGTGTATGATAATAAAACAACAGTTGGAAAAAAAGAAGTAGAAGAAGAAGAAACGTTGAACGACACCGAGCACAATAAGAACAAGAAGAAGAAGAAGCAGAGAAGAGAAAAAGAGAGAAAAAAAAACACACACACTACAAACAAAAAATAATCCTAGATGTGAAATATAATATGTACAAAAACCATAATATATATATGTATATATATGCAGACATACACACACAGACACAAATTACTATTTGTATCCGCCACCCTGGAGAGAGAGAGAGAAAAAAAAGAGAAATGTTCAACATTTTAGTCGTTCAATAGCTGTTCTTAATGCTAATTCATGTGAATCATAAGATAGATAATTATGCGATGAATTATTTGGAAGAATCCCAAGTTCAAATGCCATTTGAGTTTCAACAGCTGAAAAAGAAAACCCAATTTTTTTATTTTAACGAACTATCTTAATATTTTTCTATATTGATATTTCTAAAGCGATAGAAATTCGATGAATACTAATATGATTTAATAGAGATATAAGCTCAAATAAACTAATCAGACAAACAATGATTTATAAAGTATGTCCATGGAACATTATTCTAAGGTCATTATTTATATTATCCATAATGTGTCATATGTTCGCTTTCCAACGAACCTCAGGCCAAATAATCAAACTGTAGTATTTTACAAGGTCTTACGATTGATTTTTTGGCCTGAAACCATCAAAGGTTCCTCTAATCCTACAAACACTAAACGATAACTTTTTTAGTCATGAAAGTCTATCTAACATAGAATTCTTTTTCAACGGTGAAATAATTTTTAAAGACAAAGCAAAAAGGAATTACTTTGATGTTCCAGTAGAATTGTTTGGATTTTATTGTCAACTATGGACATTAATTGTTCATAACGATTTTGAATCGATAAACGAATTTGTCGAGTATCTTCATCATCACATAAATGAGTTATTAATATATTCATTTGATCATTTAATGAATGATTTTTAGGTGGAGTTTTTGTTGTTAATTCAATACATAAACATGATGAAGCTTGATAAGAAAAAAAAAAGAAAATATTTTGATTTTTATTAATTAAATTATTTTTACTTGATAATGATGAACAAACAGAATCAACAATATGATCAATTGTCTGAGAGATACATTCTAGATTTTGACGATTGTTTTGTCTTCTCTCAATTTTAGTCATTAATTCATCGGACTGTATTTTAGCATAATTATAAAGTTCAATTATATCATCACATCTAATAAGAAGATCATAAATATTCTATAAACATACATATTTGATTAATAAATTAATTATACCTTAAAACATGCTGTAACGATCTTAACATTGGTGTATAACGTAATTTTAATTCAATCATTTGTTCTCTTAGATTCCATAAGCGTCGAGAATACGATAAGAAAAGTGAAATTTTTTCTGAATTATTTGATGTTGTCAAAAATAGTGTTGTAGCTTCATCATCGAATATCGATGAAAGAGACCATTGTGGTGTACGCTCACCTAGAAGATGAATCAAATTAATTAACACAAGTCAGAAAAACTAAAATTTATTATTACTTTCAGCTTTTGTGCATATACTACATTTAAAAAAAGCTGGTATACAAGTTGCTGTCACACCAACACATTCGCAATGCGACCAGCATAAACACGTCTCACACTGAAAGAAAAAGAAATATATACATGTAATCAATTTGTAATATTTAATGTGCTTTACTTGAATCATAAAACCATTATCAATTTCACAATTACATAAACAATGAATAACTTCATATACATCACGTTCTTTCGGTAGAACAGGTATTTCTTCCATAACACCGGAATTAATAATATTATTATTATTTGGAGATAACAAATCTTCAATCGATTGTTGTTCAGGAATTTTTGATGATATAGGTGTAAGTGGACTAGACGGTGATAATAACATTTGTTGTTCATTAATGTTTAAATTATCATTTATATTTGATATTGTATTTGTCATATTACTAATTGATGATCGTTTTGTTTTAATATTTCGACATTGTTTTTGTCCAAAACTAACTAAACGTTTACCTCTTGTAATAATTTTTTTCTTTGTTAAATTTTCATTAAGAACATTATTTAAACATAATTTAATATGTGTTTTTATTTCATCCGAAACATAATGAAATAAATTTAAAAAATTTTGATTATAAAATATTGAAAATATTCTTTGTAATATATTTGATATTAAACGTATACGTTGATTATTTTCATTATTATAATATTCTAAACGATATTTTTCAATTTTTTCATAATGTTCATTATTATTAAAAAGATATGTTTGCAATTGTTCGGAAAGAATTTTATCATTTTCATTTAATAAAATATTATTTGTTTGTTCAGGTGTTAATTGTTCTAAACGTTCGTAAAGATTTTCTAAATCTGTATGTGTTAATAAATCTTTATTTGATGATATTGGTTCACTATATTCATCAGATAAATAACCAGGATCACATAAATCATTGGATGTTTTAGATAAATCATCACTATCTTTTTGTTTTAATAATAAACGATCAAGGACACCATTTAATTGTTGACCTTGGTCTTGAGATTTCAAATAGATTTGTTTACGTTGTGGTCGATCTTGTTTACGTTTAGATTTTAATTGTTGTAATGGTTTATCTGATAAAGATTCCGATTCTTGTGTTAAATGAATATCAGGTAACGATGGAGGAGGAGTTTCAAGAAAACATGATGATTTTGTTTCATTTTTTATTTGTTGTTCAATTGCTAGTGGAATTGAATCATATTGATTAACAAGATATGGATTATCTGTACTTGTAGTTGATGATGAACGACTATCAGTTGAAGCACTTATATGATAAATAAGATCAGAATTTGTTATTGATTCAGTATAATCATCATCTTTTGAATTACGATGAGTTGTTCTTGAAGGATCATCTTCAGGTTTTAGAAAATTTTCATCATCAGTAGAACAATGACCTAAGCAAAAAAATAATATTATCCATAAATAAAAAGAAATCATAGTATATATATATGAAAATCTCAAGGGAGTCTATAACATTGAATCTGTTTTCTTAAATGAAAAATAATCTATAATATTGTAAGATTTGATGGAGAGAAAAACAAAGCAATTTTTATGTGAAACTTCATAGGAAGTAGATTCAGTAACAAAAAAGATGATCAGTTTGATGAAATTCTTTTGTTAGGAATAACAATGAATGTAAGATTTAGACTAATTAGTTTTTGAAAAACTAAAAAATACTTCTCTCGATCACTTTCACCTTCTTCAAAAAGTAAATGTAATACATTATATATATATCAATACTTCAGAGTACCTGCTGTCCTCAATTATGAATTGGCAATATAACATACTAAGTATTTTTTTTTCATAATTAACTACAGAATAGAGAATTTCTCAGTTTTAATAACAAAAGTCATGTGGAAAATAAATTTCGAAATACTCGTATTCTTTAATATAGATAAGAATAACACATTTAGTTCTAATCTTAATTGATAAAAGCTGTGAGTTTAATATAACTTCACACTTAAATTTATGTCTATTTTCAAACGTAAATGAAGAAGATTTGTTTCTCATAATTCTAAGAAAAAATCATTCACATCTAATCGTACGTTTTGGTGATGTCGTATTATCAGATTGTTTTCCATTAGTATCCGATTCAACGAAGCGAATAACTAAGAAGAAAAGATTTCAAATTTTTCAAAAAACTAATTTTTTTGTTTTGCTATTTACCTGGTCGAAAAATTAAAACTTCAGATGACGGAATTTCTGGAGAAGTTTTAACACCTACAATTATTGAAATTTATTTTCGAAAAAAAAGAAATATTTTATATACTGTTCGATGCTGTTGTTACTGGTTGATTTGCATTCGATAATGCACGTGGTCGACAATGATTATCAACATGAACATTATCTTCAGGAGAAATTACAGGTGAATGATTACTTTTTGATGATCGACGTGCTAGAAGAATTAATTAAATATATTTCGAAAACTAAAAGAAACAATAATTTACTCTGAATAGTTGAATTTGTACTTGGTTTCCAAACAAATGGTGATTTTTTTTGTTCAGTATTTGTACTTGTTGTTCGAGGCAAACGTTGTTTTTTCGAAACTAAATCATAAAAATTAAGCTTGAATTAAATTTAAATAGAAATATGTACTATTCGAAGATTCTATTTGTGAAGAATCAGGAGGAGATGATAACACTTTTTCATCTACAAAAAGAAAATAACTAATATTTCAAATATAAAAATTTCGTTCATATATACCAGATACTATTTTAGTTGTCGATTTTATTTCATTACGAAGAAATTGACCGGGACGATATTCAAATGGTACATTACGTTTCTAAACAAACAAAAACCTTTCGAATTATTCTTCTTCTTCGTGATAATAAATACCTGATCAATAATTGTGTTAGGTCTTATAAGATCAAAATCAATCCAATACTGTTGTTGTTCAACTTGGACAAGATATTTTCTTGGTTGACATTGTATAATAATGCCTGAATGCCTAAATTATTGAGAAAAATATACATATATAATAAGCAAATAAATTCTTTTAATTAACCATTTTCCATCATCAAGTTGTACTTCAACATTGGAACCATTTTGTAAACATAATACTTTATTTGATATTATTGTTGATTCATTTCGTTTACGTTTCATATTTATTTGAAAGAATTTTTATTAGAAAATTTTTTTCCAGCATAGCCCAAACAAAATAACATTAGATAAACAAAATCTAGAAAAAAAAAGAAAATTTTCCTATGCATAAATTTTTCTTTATTCTATTTTATTTTACTTCCAAATGAATAATTTGACGCGTATCCATTTACGACATCATACGATCACTAGAAGATTTTTATATGAATAAAAGAAAGAAAAGAAAAAAAAAAACAATAAATACAGTGCAAATGTAAGCGAAAAAAAGTTTGTTGTTGACGATGATGAAAAGATTTCTTTCGTTCTGTAACCAATAAGAAATAAAAGAAAAAGAAAATAATTTATTTAGAAGAAGATTTTATTAAAATCATTAATAAAATATTTTAAATGTTAAATTAATATTTTTTTAAATATTTTAAAGAAATTAGGATGAAAGAGATTATAGCGCTCGTTATCTATTGGTTGATTTGTAGACATGTATGAATCATCATCAACCTTATGACTGTATATCTTATCAAGAGATGGGTATTGAATTTCATAAATTTGTCAAACCATTCTGTCAATTTATACCAGAAATTCAATGTCGTGAAAAAGTTTTATAAACTACTATAACATTATTCATATTTTTGGTATTTCCAACAATTGTTACATCAGTTCTTATCATGCAAAAATAATTGAAGTTGTTGATACATCCAAAGATCGTGCTCTTTTTTAATGATGCACAAAATTAGTGTTTGTCTTTTAATTATTAATCATTTATCTATTGCTAGTCTTATTGTTTTATTATTTGATGAATTATTTCAAAAAGGTTATAGACGTGGTACTGAATTTGAAGGTAGTACTATTGTTTTTAAAAATACTCAGATAAATATATAAAAAATATAGTTAAGGACAATTAATTTATTTTTTATTGATAAGTCTAGTATCATTATTTACAACCTAGTCCCTCAGAAACTGATATTAAAAAGAATGATTATTTTTGTTTATGTTTCTCTATGTATGCAAATTTCATCTTATGATAATCATCTCATATTGTGCATATTCTTTTCAAGAGGAACAAGTTAATAACTTACATGCTTTGTCCATCTTTGATTTTAGCAAGAGGTAATAATCCTTAACAATCAAAGGATAATCTTTACTTTATATGCCATTATTCTCTATCAAATCATACCACTAGTAATATGTAGTCATTGTAATATTAATAAAAGTATACCAATATATATACACATTGAATGCATTATGTCAAACAAAGACCTTGTTTAGTTATATTTAAGGGATATATAAAACCAACATGGTTAATGAAATACTTCTAGACGAAGTTGAACAACAACAAAATAGTACAAACTTATAATACAACAGAGACAATAAAACGTCTGTAGAGAGCATTAGAGAAAAAAAAATTATTTGATATTCTTTAACGAAAGAAATCATTTCCATAGAAAATGACTACCTAAATATCATTACATCAAGAAAACTTTAAGATTAATTAAACGACAAATTGGTTATGTTCGCGACGAGAAAGTCTATTCATTATTATATTCAATTTATGAGAGAGATATTTAGACCACCATTTAGTCTTTATATTACCAGAAGATTCATCAGATTTGATAATTTCTTCAAGTTGTTGTTGTAGCTGGCGCTGCTGAACAAGAACACGAGTATCAACAATAAACCATTTGATCACTATTCCGAATATAAATAAGCCGCAAGCAAATAAGATAATTGAAGAAATATTAAGATTTCCTTTTTTCTAGAAAATATAAAGTTTGTGATCAAAATGTAATAAGTTAGATAAATAATCTTTTTTTGTTACCCAAAAATTATATCCAAACCAGAACCAACAGCTACAACAGATCAATATGCACCCAACAATATAACAATAGATGATGATACATCTGCATTTTTCACACTTTGTCAGAGCAGGCTAGTAATATAAAAAAAAGAGTAGACTACTGTTTAAAACAGGCTCGTTTACACAGGATCGTCTCGTGGAGGAGTTTGTATGAATATCTGTGAGGGTGTGGGTGTGGGTGTGGGTGGGTGTGGGTGGGTGGGTGTGAAGAGATATTCATACTCACATCAACTCACACCCACACCCAGTTTTTTCACTTCTTTTGAAATGTATATAATTGAGAGAAACACTATACGATAAGTGTTTAAATAGAACAGTTTCCTATCTAGCGTATATTTTCGTAAGTCGTTTGAAACAATATGACTCGACTATTTTTATTTATCGTCGCTTTTTCACGCACCTCTAATATGCTGTTTGATTTTATTAGTTCTATGTAGACTTAAATAAAATATGAATTCTATTTAAATTGACTCAATTTAACTGAAAAGAAAGAAACAATACATTAAATTAATTTTATTTCACTCCAATTCGTATGGATGATTAAATTCAATTATTTGAGAATTTTTTGTCTACATTAGTTGAGGCTGTAAAATTAAATAACGATTACATATTAATCTTCACTTTCTTTTGTATCTCATAGATTATCAATAGGTTATTGATTGTCGCTAGATTTTCAGCTCAATTTAAGGGAATGGTGTGTCCTGTTTCACAAATATGATTTAGAACTTTTAATAGTTGATATAAATGTTTAAATGGTCATTGTGATATCCTCAGATTTCTTTTCAAGAATTCTCTATAGAGCACAAGATTTTAATGTAGAAAAAAAGACAACAACCTTTTTCACTGATATAAAACTGATTATATTCAAAAGAAAAAGAAAGAAAGATCAATACAAGAAGACATACCTGTGAATTCGACAAACATTGTTTTGTGTTTATCGTATCGACAGAAAATGTGACAGCTGCTACCATAACAGCAGACATAGTCAAAACCACGGATATAGTTTTTTTTAATCTAAAACATATTGCAACGTCTCACTAATCGTGATTCTTGAATCTACTCTTTCTAGATTCTTATCATTAGCCGTCGTAGCCAAAATTAACAAAAAATATAATTCTAATCGAATAAAAAACTGTCATTTAAATTGATTTCAATCAAAACAAAAATAGATTAAAATCAGTTTTCTTAGCTCTTAATAATTTCAATCAATTTCTCCCAAATTAATTCTATTTCATCTTCAACATTTTTGCACAACTTTCATTAGTTTTGATCGATGGCGTGACGAATTGTGAGAGTGACTGCCTATGCCTTTCGACATGATGGTGTCTTGTGTTATCTGCATAATCACAATCGTGCCTTTCCTTTATTGAACACAACTTATATAGGGGTGGTTACACAAAGAGAGAGAAGGTCAGTGATAGGTGGCGACGGTCATGATATAGATTAGGTAAAGCATAACGGTCAATACCGTTACACCGACAATCTATAAATTCTTCGATTATTAGTGTGACTAATTCTTGAAATCCGAAACATAATAATGGTAAAAATGAACTAGGTACAGCTGAATAGAATAATAATGGTGTATCTGATTATGTTTTCAATATTTCTAACTTTGGTGTTATTTAAAAAAATCTTGAGGGTGGGTATGGGTGATATATATAGCTCATACAAAACACACGCCCACATCCACCCACACCCACACCCTTTTTATCAAATATACTAAAAATAAATACTCGATCAAGTAAAAGAGAAAAAAAAATAAAGAAAGAAAGAGATGTATAGGGCAAAATATATGTCGAATAAGAGAAAAAGAATAGATTCTTAAATAGATGTATCATTGACAAAAATCGAATTTAAAGATATTAATAAAAATTAAGTCATAATAAATATAATTGCTTTTAGTAAAACAGAAAACTTTACAAACAGTTATTAATTTACTTTTAATTGATGATCAAGACACACAATTAGCTATTGAATTATTAAAATTTATTTTATTTATTTAATATTGATTTTTTTGTTGAAATAAAAATATTAATTTAGAGAAATGTGTAAAACTAATTTTATTGCAACACAAACTGATTATGCATCTGCAAAAATAATGACAACATTTATTATTGATATGGCTAAACTTGATTCATATATTATTCGAACATATATGGGTCAAATAACTGATTTATTCACAGTGGAAGTAATTTTAAAAAAATCAATATAAAATATTTGTTTTTTTTTGTGTTAGAGTCATCATATTCGTGCGGCTGCATTAGCAGTATTATGTTCCTTTATTGAAAAACTTCTTTTATTTGATGATTTAGATTTAATGCATAACTCTGTTGTATTTACATTAGGAACATGTATCTGATGTAACAGCATCAGTTCGTCAACATTGTTTACAATTATGAATATTACTTGTGCAATAAAATAAGTTCTTGTTAAACAATATATTCGAACATTTGAACTTGGTCTTGATCAATTAAGAGATTCAGCTTGAGCTATCCGAAAACATGCAGTAACACTTCTTAATAATCCTTATTTGTTTTTGTAATTTGATTTAATAATATTTAGATTTTATTTTTTTTATTGATAATAAATTTCTAGGATTGAACTTGAGCTCAATTTGAAGAAAGACAGAATGATGCTGTAGTAGATTCATGCTAATCTCGAAAGTAATATATAAGCATCTTGCCAGGCCTCAATGGCTCTATTCGTTATCTTACGAAATATTGATACATGAACTAGACAATGGATGAGAATACATATTTGTAAATACGTTTCTTCGACAAGGTAGAGCCAAGCTGAGTTGTATTTTGATTTGTTTAATTGAGTGTACATGCATATGATTCAATAAAAAAATCAGGTTATTTTTTTATCATTCATGAACTCCGAAAATTACGATTATATAAATTAATACAATTTTGATCAAATTACAAAAAATGAACTCAATGAAATATTCGATACAAAATATCGTCTTTGATTTTGATCAAAGTTTTTCTCTGCTTGCATCATCTTTGAGGTTCTTTTCTGTAATTATTAATTGAAAAAAGTCAACTGAAATCTATAGAACTTTAGTTTTGCTTTCGAAAGAAAAAAGTAACCATAAACTTTATGCCACAAGTGTTCTTTTCTTTTCTACCAACATTTTACAATTATAAAGAATCAAATACGAACGCAGATGTTCTACTGAAGAAAAAAAAACGTCTTATATAATCTCTTTTGAGAACTCTTCTCATCATTGCTGTTGAATATATCGCTAAAATGCACGTATATTTTTTCTCGTTCTTCACAATTCTACAGAACAAAACGAAAGAAAGTGTTCGATGCATACGATAAATATGAACAATGCTAGTAACAAAAAGGTCAAAAAAAGAGAAACCAACGTAACAATGAGTATGAAAAGAAAACATTCATTTTATTCTCTCATTCGTATCGTATAAAATGCAAGTGTGTTTGTCGATAACGAATCGTATTATTCTCAATGAATAAAAATAAAGCCAATGCGCGTATATCTTTTTAAACTATTGAATAGCTTCAAATTCTTTCACTCTACTGATATTACGCAAAACAGTCTACTAATTTTGTTGGACAAGCCTATTTCAACACACCCACTATAATGTCAACCAGAATATAATGCGAACTTAAGATGTCAATTTGTGAAAATGATTCACCCAATCATATGAATTAATCAATGTATACATTTTATTATTATTGACGTAAATTATATAGTACTTTTCATTAACGTTATCCGGTAGAATTTATTGCAATATACCAACCCTGGGACACGGACTATTCAAAGTAGATTTTATTTGTAATTCATCCATCTATAAACTCCAGCGAGTACACAAGGTTAACAAATGGCCTAAGATTAAAGGTGCATTTACAGATATAACTACTATACATCCCCATAGACAAACCTGAGTATCAAGCAATGCAATCAGAATTTAAATTCATGCTTCAACCACACACAAATTATTTAAGAAATTTTATTCACAGCTGATTTAAAACAAAAATTATCTATGAAAATTAATATTAATTCATATCACAAATTATTCTCCTGTAAGTTCAATTAAATGAACGCATGGGAATAAAATACAATTGAAGTCTTTTAAGCCAACCATTCAAATTTGAACGGTACATTTACGAAGGTCCGTCGTTATCAATCGTCAATCTACCTTTATGCATCAAATCTGTAATTTTTATTAGAAGAATAGACTGACGTCAGCATACTATTCACATACAAATTTCTCTACACCATACACGTAAACAGTTTTCACCGTTTGTCTAACATAGACATTTATAAAATAAAGAAAATACAACATTTAATTTTCTCTAGTTACATTTGTGCTCATGAACGGCAATCCATCGTTGAAAAACACACCTTCCTTATTTTATAAATAAGAATACTCATTTGAATGTATTCCTATTTATAATACAATACAAATTTTCTCTTCTTCTAATATATCTCTCGTGAATTATTATTTTCTACATACTCTATAGTACTTTGTTATTATATCGAAATAAACTTATAGGACATTGACTACTATCATTACAACAAAAGGATTTAATCTAAAAACGATTACATTTATTATTTAAATAATTGGACAGTTGATAGGCTTTTTTTTTTTGGAGACACAATTTGAATGTTCTGTTGCTTTCATTTTTTTCTATCAAAGAATGATGTATTGATGATATTAAATGGCGATCATTTAATTGGCTTTATAATTTATTGATTGATCCTACTTATCGAGACATTTCTTTGATTAGATTCATAATTGGAACAATTTGAGCCATTTTACTTAAATGAGATTGAGTTGATAAAAAGAACGGTATTGAATGATATTCTCAATCAAAATTTTATAATCTACATTCTATCTACAATATGGCATTTTGCAATCCCGTAAGTAAACTATATCTTAATTTCTTTGAAAAATTTAATATTATTTTTTCGTAGTGTCTTCGTCCAGCTGATTCATCTGTACTTACATCAGTTAAATATCCATCAAAATCTATTACAACTCTTTTACGTCGTCGACTTTTTAAAAAATCATCTTCTCTACCTAAATGTCAATCACCTATACATCGTCCAATTCGAAAACAACAATCAAATCGTAAATTTCAACGAATGAAAGGGTAAGAATTTTTTTTCCAGTAGAAATTTAATTATTAAACATTTTCTTTTATAAATAGATCAAATATTATTCAAGAAGTTATTTGTGAAAAAGAAAATCAAACAATGGATTTAATGAGTAATTATGATATGACTGTATTTCATGATGATGAACTTGATGATACACAAGTTGCTTTATCTCATCGACAATCAAAAAAGATTCCACGTTGGGCAAGAAGTATGTAGATCATTTCTTATAATCAATTTTTATTTTAATGCTTTTATTTTATTTAGAAAGTCAATTACAACTTGCTATTGTTAATCAAATCTATTATAATGATAAAAATCCTGAAGAAATATTTGGTTCTATTCAGCTTGAACATGCACATCAAATGGTTGATTCAATTGAATTATGGAATACAGAAGTACCATTAATTTATTCATATTCTACTCTTCCACCGAATTTTGTTTAATTGTACTGTAGTTTTTTTTAGTTTAATAATAAATTATTTCTTATAAAATATTTCTAGTTGATATAGAATAACGAAAAAAGGTTCTCTTTGAATCATACGAAGATATTAGAGCGTGAATAGATGAAATTCATTGTAAGTGATTTGTTTAGTTACAGTCGAGAACGTTTACTTGTTCATCGTAAGAGAAATTTGCCGGGTCAATAGATAGCGCTAACCATCAACCATTGTGTTTTAATATTAAATATCACAATAGGTTTCTTTAGTATGAAATGAGATGTATATTTCTATCACAAACAGAGATTAAAAAACAAAATCAAGTCTATATACTTTGGGAGTAGATAAGGGACAGATGTCGCTTTCATCGGCTTAGACAAAGAACTGAACTACAAATAAGTATATAGATGTATTTCTTCGTATTCGTAGTCGGATTATATGTTTTTGAGTTTTCAATAATAATTTTATAGTTTGATAAATAAATACTAATTAGTAGTGACTATTTTTCTAATACGAAGAAAGACACAAAAATGTCTCTGTTCTCTTTATGAAGTCATTTTTTTTTGTTTTCTGTTACAATGTCTTTGTTCATTTGTTGAATACTGATTTGATTGTTAGATAATAATAGAATCAAAATGACAGATCTTGACAGTACAGAAATAATAGCAAATGATGAAAGTTTTACGGAAAATCCACCAACGACCGATACTGTATGTTTATCAATTTTAATTATTTCAATTTCTTTAAAAAAATGTATATTTATAGAAAGCTTCATTAAGTATTCTCAATGGTACTGATCCACAATTATTTCAAATAAATAGTATGAAATAGGGTTGGATCTTTGTATTTATTTTGTTACTTTTCTTAGAGGAAACAATTATTGGTCGATCAAATCCATCAGATTTTATTATTGCTGCACCGGTAAACTACTTTTAATTTTTTTCCCTATGAAATAAAAACTTTATTTTGTATATTATTCTAGTCACTTTCAAAACAACATGCGAAAATAACTATAAATAATGGCCAATATTTCATAACCGATCTCGGCAGTAGTAATAAAACATTTCATAATAAAGTAAATCAAATAGTTTCAATTATGAATACATTATTTTTATGATTATTAAGACTCAACTTCAACCAAATGTTTGTTATGCATTACATGATGGTGATGAAGTGAAATTTGGTGAAATCAATTGTTTATTTCAAGAAGAAAAACAAATTAATGTAAAATTTCCCTATAAAATTTATTCTATATAGAACCGTTTTATTTTAGTCGAAAGTAGATTCACAAGCTACTGTTAATCGTAAGTAAATTATGATTTATCGATAAATAATTCGTATAAATTATTTTTTTCATAGCATCTACACAAACAATTTCAAATTCTTACGAAAATCAAGAGCCAATACAAGCAATTAAAATCTGGAGTCAAAATAATAACGAAATGAAAAGTAATTTTTGATAGAAGAAATTTTTCTTGAAAGCATAACGATTTTGATTTATATAGCATCTAAACAGAATGGTATTGATGATTCTCCAAATAAATCTTCATCTTCATTTACTCCATTTTCATCTTCGGCAGGAACAAATGATATTGATATAGATGATAATAATTTAATTATTGGTTCGACACCATTACCAGCAAGTGTTCCATTAATTATTGAATCGAAAGAATTGAATAATGATGATCAACTTGAAATTATTTCATCATCACAAACAAAAAAGATTCTTTCAAATGATTCAATAGTACCTACAGAAATAGAAGATACACCACCTCCATCAAATGGATTAGCAACAATTGAAAATGCTCAGCAATTAGAGATGGAAACATCGACACCTTTGAAACCATTAGATAATCCTGATGAACAAATGGATAATTCAACACCGAAATTAAATGAAGAAGTTGAAGAATCTAATAATATTACAGATGATACACCAATAAAACAACAAAATGAAGGTACAACAAATCAAGAAATTGTTAAACAAATTCAACCAGAAGAAGAAATGGATACAGAACAAACAACAGGTAAAGTTCATTAATGAATAAAACTTAATTATATTTATTATTATTTAGAATCTCCATCGATGGTTATTGATGATAAACAACAACAACAACAACAGGACAATACTGATGAAATGGAGGAGGAAGTATTACCAACTTTAAATGCTGATGCTATGACTGTTGATGAAACAGAAAAACCAAACATTGAAAATGCACCTGTTACAATGGTAAAATTAAATGTTTTTAAGTATTCAATATTTTTTTATCTTGCTGATATCATTAGGAACAAGAAACAACATCAGAAGTAAATAAATCTCTTGAAACTCCATCCATCGAACCAGTAACAAAGATCGATGAATCTACTGGTATGTATTCAGAGATTTTCATTACAATAAAATATATTTCTTTTCGATTTTTAGCTACAGTTCCATCTGAAGCGGAAGTCAACGAACAAGAAGAGGAAGAAGAAGTTGAAGCTGAGGAAGCTGAGGAAGCTGAAGAATCAGGTCCAGTTACTGGTCGTGGTGTTGCACGAAGAAATGTTCGTCGTGCTCGAGGTCGTCGTCGTGGTACAGCAGCTCGTGCTCGCGTTGTTAGTACGCGTATACTTGGTGGACGACGTAATCCAGTTGTACCTCCTACAACTAGCAATGAAGAGAATAATAAAACATTAGAAGAAACAGTCAATACTGAACCAGAAGAATCACCAGAAAAACCAGTTTCAGCGCCTGTTGTTAAAGAAAAAAAACCTAGAAAGAATGAAACCAGTACTCCTAATCAAGAGTCTAATCAAACAGATGCTGGTTCAAATGTTCGAGTTTCAGGTAAAAAAGCTTTTTAATATATTTAAACTTCAATTAGTAGTCGTTTTTTTATAGCTCGTATTAAGGATCGTATATCAACTGGTAGAAATCGTCAATTTCCATATGCTGATGATTATGTTGATCTCGATGTTCTTGAAAAACAAGCAAAAACTAATGCAGCTACAACAGCAACACCACCACCAACGACAACAGCAGCAGCAGCAGCAGTAACAACAACAACAACAGCAACGCCAACTGGTCGTAAATCAAATCGTGGACGTGCTTCTGCCTCACCACAAAAACGAATCAGTCTTCGACAACAACCTATTGATGCATCTGAAAATTCAGAAGAAAAAGATAAAACGGATATTTATGAACAAATGGATACTGTTGTTGAAAATCAAGAACCAACACCAAAAACTGGTGGTCGCAAAAGAAAAAGTACAACACCAGTATCAGCAGTTGCTACAAAACGAAAGTAAGATTCGATCGAGAAACATTATTTCATAGTTTATTATAAATTTTCATATGAATTTTCATATGAATAATATTACGTCAGATGTGATAACAAAAACTAATATGAACTATTCATACATTTCGGTTTGTTCTTTAGTGTATGAAAGTTAGAATAGTGAAGTTTAGAGATTGTTAAAATATTATTGTTTGTGAAGACAATAACACTAATAAAATATATACAAAGATCTAGTTAAGAGAGTTTCGCATTTTCAGATTGACTGTCAAATCTAAACACAAAAAAATTTAAGCTTAGTCTGAGAATAAAAATTATAATCTCTCTGATTGAAAATTTACGGACTATACGGACTCTATCGCAATGTAACTAGATTTGTGTAGAGTAGGAAGCTTTCATATTATCTACAAGAACCGAAATTCTATTCATTTAAAAATTCATATTTCAGTCGTCCAGCAACACCTCAATCAGTACCAACAGTAAATACTCGTCGTAAACAAACCTCACCTGTTGAAGTTTCTCCAGTAGTTGCCAAATCCACTCGACGTACAACTGGTGGACAAAAGCAAGCTGCTCCTCAGCCACCACCTCCTTCTCCTCCTCCTCCTGCTGTTACTACAGCTACTACTACTACACCAAAACGTGGTCGAAAATCAACTAAACTAGCCACATCAACTGAACAGTCACCAGAAAAACAAAATTCAACTGCAGATCGACCTGTTCGTATAGCTCTTAGTAGTCATTTGGTAAGAAAGACGAAAACAATCTTTTATTTCTTTTATTATTAATCTTATAAATAATTTATATTTAGAATTTTGATCAACATCATTTTGATATATTACGTAACTTAGGTTTTGAAATTATGGATGAATCCTGTCAAGTTGATGCTCTTGTTGTTGATCGTATAAGACGTACAAAAAAATTTTTCATGTGTCTTGCACGTGGTGCACTTATATTATCACCTGCTTGGATTGAAATAATGATAAAAGAAAATCGTTATATTCCATATGAAAAATATTTTTTAAAAGATACAAATGCTGAAACACGTTATGGATTTGAATTACGTGAAAGTGTTCGTTTAGCTAAGCAAGGTCCAATATTTGAGAATCGTAAATTCTTTTGTACAAAAGATACATCACCACCTTATGATGACTTAAAAGATATTATTGAAGCTGCAGGTGGTAAATTAGTTGAAAAAATAAATATGAATAAACCAGGAAAAGATATTATATGTATTGTTGCACAAGTACATAAGAATGATTATGAAGATTTATTTAAAAAAAATGTATCAATTGTTAGTGAAGAATTTATTTTAAGTGGAATATCCAAACAAAAACTTGATTTCGATGCGTATGTTATATAATATAATAAAATATTGTTTCGACATTTTTTTTCTGTTTAGTTTCTCTCTATTTCAAAATGCAACAGCAATGAAATCCAATGTTAACAAATAATATTCCACATATCTGTCTTATTATGCTTGTATATACAAAAACATTTATTTTTTTTTCTTTAAAAAAGAAGAATTATATTCCATGTGTGTGCACTTGTATGTTATGTATTAATTGTCTATGATTAGATTTATTGGTATAGAATCTTTTTTCAGCTATTAAATAAATAAATGTTAAATATTAAATATTTATCAGTTCACTCAGTCTCAGACTGACGGGATAAATATACGCAGATAACAGTCAAATATTTACTTTACGAGTCGAGGTTTTTTATAAAATAAAACTTCAGTAGAACTAGTTTAATTAGATAACAACATAAATTCTTGACGAGAATCAAAATCCAAATGATACTATTTTTCATTTGACATGAACAATAGATTCCTAGATAGTTTCTAAGGATAGAAAACTCGTGATAAATTACATAAATGCTATTCTTCACACCGCATTAAATAGAATCAATTTAGTCGAAGGTCAAGTGAGTGGTACCGACCAACTTTACTTGTATATTAGTGCTATATATATATAATTCATAAAAACTTGAGTTTATGCAATTATTACGATTAATTTACTTCTTCTATTTTAATCAGTTAACGAACCATGTAATTATAATTACCCATTATTTACAGATCCACAAGGAAGACTAAATATTTTTAATCCTTTCATTCTATAGTATAACATTTGAAGATATCTCTGAATATAGATTTATGTTATTTTCTTGTTGCATAAGAAAGTTTCTAATCACGTACCCATAACTACATCATTTTTCTAAACTCTATTCTTACAATCAAAAGAAATTTGAAGTTCTTGTTAAATTTTATTCATATAATACATTTCAAAATAAAATTAGATTCAGATAAACAAGACATATATATATATATAGTTTATATACAATGCATATCACAGGATTATGCTGCTTTGATGGCTTGTGCTCGTCGATAATAAATAAACAAAATTGATGTTAATTCATGTTGTCAACAGATAAAATAATAACAAGATGATGATGATGATGATGGGTCAATTTCGTCCATTTTGTTTAAAAACAATGGCTTAATATTTACAGCATACTTCAATCTAAAATAAATGTACAAAATTCAATTTTATGATGAATAAATAAAAGTATAATACACTTGTTATAAGTAACTCTTATGTAAATTATCTATTATATACTTAGGTAATATTAGATAATGATACAAGGTATATCTTACTATCCTTTTACTATTTAAAAATGTATTATATTATAACTTTGTTAAAGAGAGAATAAGATAATACAATAGTGATTGCTTTGCTGGACTTTGTTAAATAGAAACTGATTCTTTGTGACATGACAGAATCATACTAAGCAAAGAGAACGATAAAATGTTTGAAGAAAGCGAACACACTCATAACTTTCTCTGTTCTTCTCTCTGTCTCTCTCTCTCCTTTTTCTTTCTTCTCTTTGTCTCGCTTTCTTTCTTGCCCTTAGGTGATGGTAATGTTAGAAGTAGTAAAATTTCATAATGCAAGTGCATATGTTTGATAAAGAGAAAAAGACTGTTGAGTAATAATGAAATTTACTTGCCTATCGGACATCTAAAAAAGATGGTTGTCATATAAAGAAAAGTAAGAATAGAGTGATTGTAATAGAGAAGCAAAAAAGAAAATCTGAAATATAAAGTCAATAGAACATATGTCTGAACAGTTTTTAAAAGATAATATTCAATCAAATCTTATTCGTAAAATTCTCAATGGCAGCCATATTTGTAGTTGTGATATGTTGAAAGATTTTATCTCCGTAACTTATATTATTAAAAACGACAGATGGTTTATTCAATGAAATTTTGATTGTCATAAGTGATGACTATGACATGTTTCAATGAAATAAATATTTAAAGACAGAGGAATTATACGTTATTGGAGAGTCGAATCTATTTCTAGAAAGTACATATTCTCACTTATTTGATTAGAAAAAGTGGGCAATATTACTTAACGTTTTAGACGATTCATGCACAGAGTATAACATACATACTTTAAAATTATATGACACATTATATTCATAAAAGAAAGAAAAAAAAGGTTCATCTAACATGTCTCAAACTTTAATAATAATGTATATGGATAATTTTGTTGACTCAATATTTTTCTCGACAATTGCTATGAACTCAGAAGATCTGTACATGTAATTATTATGATGTTGTATATGTCACTCGATAAAAGAGAGATAATAGTTTATGTAGGATGTTATTGTAATGATTATTTAAAAACTCAAATCGTGAAAATATTTTATTTTATCTATTGGTTTATATAACATCAATTTAATATTTGATTAATTTTTACTTCTGAATAACAAAACCAGATGGAATACATTAGTAACTATACAAAATAGAAATATTCTTATCATCAGATTTTTCTGTTAGATATACTTCCTTTTATTTAGAAAAAAAGATGGAAAATACAGAAATTGTTGCCATCGAGATTTTTTCTTTGTAGGTTATCATTTATTAAATTATGAAAATGAATATGTTACTCATGTAATTTGTTTGAATAAAATTCTATATTTTAACTTTCAATCAAGAACTAGAATAATACATGCCTATTAAAATCTACACTGCCCTATTTATGGTATATAAACTATCAAATTCATAATAAAAAACAAAGATTTAAACATAAGTTTTTTCTTCCCATTTGATAATAAACTATATTGTTGCTGTGTGGACAAATGATATTACAGAAAGATTGATATTTTTTGTTTAAGAGGATACATTAAAATATTCCTTGCTCGATTACGATAACAACTATTGAAAATAGTAACAAAATTTTTTGATTCTTATCGAGCACAAAGGTATGGTCTGTTGATGCATAATCTACTAATGTTGATAACACATTCAAAACTATTCAGTTAAAAACTGGAGAAATTCCGAGCGTATTTAATAAATCATTCGAATCGAAAACGAAGAATCCTTTGTATATTGTATATTGTTTTATCTGTACGTTACAAATAACATAGGCAATGACCTTCTATAGATGAGCAATATAAACTTGTATCTCGCACATGATATAAAAAAAAGTAATTAAGTATGTACAATCGCATACATGCCTGATAATCATATTACAATCTGTCGTTATAATCAAATGAGAATTATATTGTTATATTATTACAGAATTTTAAGAAACAAAAATGAAATGAATTTAAATCTGATTTATATACGTAGGTAAAATTCATGCAATTTATTTTTTTAAGTAACTAAATAAACGTATAATCCGAAATATTATTATCCTTCTTAGGAAAGAAAAATTACATAATATATTCATTATTATAAAATATAAGACTGTAGGCTTTTAATTAATTATATTAGATTTATAAGCATGATTATAGTTAATTTATTATTCGTTTTAAAAAAAATTGATTGATAGTAATCTAGATTCTTCTTATATCAACATTAGTAATGTAAACGGAAGAAACATAGCTTTTATCAAACAAAACAATTTATCGGATATCCGAAAGTCAAAAGAAACAAACCTATCGTATTATATCCTAGTCTTTTCATTTTGTCTATAGAAGTTTTACTAATATTCGATAGATCATCTACATAAATTTAATCAGAAGACTAAACCTCATCCATATAGTTCTTCTTTCTTTCATAATCATTTCGATTACTAAAAGAAAAGAGAACAAAGTAGTACTATAGTAAAATAAGTTGCATGCCATGCACTTATACTACAATAGTATACTCTTTTCTTTCCTATTCCAACAGGTGCTTGTTCATTCTTCACTTCATTTCTCATTCTTTATTCTATTGTATACATATATAGGTACATGTCAGTTTCTTTTCACTTTTCAATCGGACATGTGTATAATGTTATACTAACTTTCTCTATCGTCTATGTGTAAAAATTACATCGGTGTCAATAGTTTATACAATACTAATATTACACATCATTTTGGTAGTGTGAAATACGGTAAATTGTATTTTGAAAGCATAATAAATAGAAAAAGAATTAGACTATATATTACTTGAGATATTTTTGTATGAAGTGATTTAATTCTTATTTATTATATATTTATACTATGAAAAGAAATGAAACTTGTTTTCTTTCTTTCTTCATCCCTTATTGGCAGGTGTGTTTTTTTACATTCAATTTATAATGATATAGTTTTACATTTTTTTGACCGTAGATTATTTGTATATAGTTCAATAGTGCTTTTATCTTAACATGATCTTGATGATTGCAATAAACAATGATGTAATCTCAAATAAAAATGATATTTTGATAATTCATTTTTACCTTTTTTTTTCTTCTT